ACCCAGCTATTCCTCTGCTGGGTATCTTCCCCAAAGAATTAAAAGCATCATACTACAGCAATATACACACACTCATGTTTATAGTGGCATAGTTTGTAATAGCTAAATCTTGGAAACAGCCCAAATGTCCATCAACCAATGAATGGATAAAACAGCTGTTTCTTTTAATACTATGGAGTACCACTCTGCCATAAAGAAGGACAAGCTTGAGACAATTCTAGCTAAATGGATGCACCTTGAGACCATACTCTTAAGTGAAATAAATTGGACTCTCTTGTGTAAATATTGCATAGTTTCTCTGGTGTGAGAAACTGGAAATGTAAATAAAGACTAAAATGTATAATAGACAATCTGAAGTAGGAAGAAATGTTCAAATGGGAAGGGGCACTGGGATGAGGGTGGAAGGAAGAAAGGTAAAAGAAAAAAGGAGAAAAGGATAAAATGGAAACAAAACTTTTGTAAATAAGGAGGGCAAGAGTGGTTGAAGGGAGGGGATGGGAATGGCAAAAAATAAACATCAAGATATATAATGTACAGCTACAAATTTCATATGATGAAAGTGATCATTATGTATGTCTGAACTTTACCAATAATTTTAATAAAAAAATAAAGACAACGCAAAGCATATTGACTCATCTTCTAGATATTTGCATGTGTTAAAATGTCATGAAGAAGCCCATTAATTTGCACAATTCATCTGTGCTAGTAAGTATAATTTTAAAAAGAATCTGAGAGGCTCAAAAAGAAAAAGAAATGTCCAAATTTTCCCATGGCCCGGGAAGAATACAAGGAACACATAGTCTTGCAAATGCTATGATTGTTGCCAGCTGACTACTCAGCCTTTTGCTCTGGGACTCTTGAGAGCAGGCATGCTGTGCTCCAGTGGCATTTCTCATCACTCATTTAAAAGCCTGTCATTCGTGGAGAGAGGAGCAGTAGGGAGTGCACGAGGAAGCAGCCCTTATCTTTTAGAGATGCATATTACAGCTGGGAATGTCAAAATTGAGACCAATGAATAGCTCCTGAGGAAATGAGTCAGGAAAAAGTCATATGTCAATTAATATTTCATTAGTGGTTGTCTATTTTCCTAAACTAGTTATCTTGCTTATTATCAGTCTCCGAAACTGAGCTGCTTTGCTCTCAGTGAACAGTGGGATGCAGAGTTAAACAGAAGACTTGTGGGAGCACTTCTTCAGCAGGTGGAAGTTGGTCAGAAGTTGTCTTTTTTATGAGCCTAACCAGGGATGTGGTGGGAAAGCTTACCCTCTGTGAGCAGGGGAAGAAATTTTGAAGTATTTAGGTCAATTTTGGTAATCTGATAAGCTGAAAGCTATCCACAGTTTGATGAGCTAATGGCATATAAGTAAATATAGGAAAACATATGTAGGAGAGATGGCTGGTATGAAGGCTTTCCTGTGTGGTGGAGAGTTCATCACCCAGAGAAAACTTAGCAGTAATGAGGTGATGAGTCCCTCCAAACAGCACCAGATAAGATCGTTCACATGCCTGCACCTGTGGCAGGATAATCATTTAATTTCAGGCATTTCAGAATGATAGGACAGAATTTTGGAGTGCACATTTTCATACTTTATCCCTTAGGAGAAGTAAAGGTAAAAGTACAGGAAATAGAGAATATATATCACTATTTTATACTGACAAATTAATTAAGATCTCTAATTTAGGACATAATTGTACTAATTTAACTGTGGTGCTTAAGCTTGATTTTGTCAAGTCATTTGGCTTGTGAGCCACTCATGGGATTGGTGGAGCACAATTCTGGGTGTGTCTGGGTGGATCATGGAAGGATTACCTTGGAGTCTATATCTTGGCTCTTGCTCCTTCCTCTCAGGTGCTATTCTTTGCCTTTTTCCCCATTCACTATGAAATAAGCATCTTTGCTCTATCAAGCCCTTCTGCCATGATGTTTCTGCCTTGGAGCCATCTGACCATGGGCTGAATCCCTAAAACCTTGAGCCAAATTAAACCTCTCTGCCTTCAAGTTGTGGATGTCTAGTATTCTATCTCAGCCCTGGAAAAGCTAACACAAAAAATTTCAACCAGCAAAGTAGGGTCATTGCTGTGACTATACGTGAGCATGTGGTTTAGAAGCTTTTGAAACTGGTTTGTGACAGGAGTTTGGAAAGTTTTCGACATGCAGGCTAGAGAAATTTAGAACATTATAAGCTGAGTATGATGAGTGCTTCTGGTCAGAGCTCAAAAGGCCAAAAGGCTGATAGGAATGTGAGCAGTATAGGCCAAGTTTTAGGTTTCAGTTGGGAATAAGAACTTCATTGACAAAAGATCATTTGTGTGGCAAAAAATTTCTCTACTGTTTGCTCATGTTCTGAGACTTTGCGGGAGATTGAGATTAAGGACAGTGGAATAATTGATGTGCTGTAGGAAATTTCAAGGGAACTCAACAGTCAGGCTGTTACATGGGCACTGCTGGCTGCTTTTAGTTAGATTTTTAGTGAATACTGAGTGAAAAAGGCAGAGCAAAAAAATTTGAAAACTTAAATTTTGGCCCCAAAGGAACCACATGAAAAGTTGGGGGCAAAGGAGGTATAGTTGCTGAGGAGATTAGTGCCATTAAAAGAAACCAAGTAATTTGTTCAGGAAGAAAAAGAAATTTTCCTTGAGGTCATCTCAGAAATCAGCAAGATTCTCCCCATTGCAGGCTTAAGGATGCAAAAGTGTAAACCTTTCACTTGAGAAGAGCGTCCCTGGGACCCTTGCTCAAGATGGGCCTCCAACGGGACTGGTTCCATGGGATGCATTTCATGCTCAGTCTTCCAAGATGCAGGGATCACAGAAGCCATGGATCAATTAGACCTAGCTACTGCTTAAGCTAGTGGCAGACCTTGGTGTCTTCCATCTGATGCTCGTTTTATTGGCATGCAGAATGCGAGAGTTGTGAGGTCAGGGAAGCTTCCACTCTTATTTCAAAGAATTACTTGGGAGGCTAGGAAAGGAGCCCATCAGAGGGCAGTGAATGAACCTGTGAGGATGAAGTTAAAGGTGTAGTTGTGACCCCAAAAAGTAGGGATGCCAGGAACATGGAGCATTTGTTCAGGAGGCCTGCAGACCATGAGTGGAAAGAGCCAGAGAGAGGCCATGTGGGCTGCAACCAGCAAGGCCATAGGGAGGTGATGCTGTACAAGCCTGCTGAAACTCTATCTCACCATCTTGAGCCCTACATGCTGGATACGGAGCCACAGAACTCCACGTTTACTTTGCTGGGGTTTGGTCTTACGTTAGTCCAATTCTCTTCTCTCCCTGTATTTCTTTCTTTCAGAATAGGAATGTTTACTCTGTGCCATTTTGAAGATTATATGTTATGTTTGATTTTTACAAAGATTCATAGCTGAGTTTGCCCTGAGTTTCAGAAGAGACTTGGACTTAGATTTCAAAAAATCTGGAATTGTTGAGACTTTGGGAGAAAGTCGTATTTCATTTTTTGTGGTATGCAAGAGAGTGTTTGGCAGAATTATGATTGTTTTTATTTGGAGATTAAGTATGGCTTAAAGACATGTTTGTTGACAGGTGGTAGGATGTGATGATTATGTTGGACTGTGTCAACTTGATTGGCTTGTGAGCCACCTGCAG